GTTTGAGGTTTAGGGCTTAGGGTTTAGCTATGGTTTAGGGTTTAGGGTTTAGGGTTTCGGGTTTGGGGTTTAGGGTTTAGGGTTTAGGGTTTGGGGTTTAGGGTTTAGGGTTTGGGGTTTAGGGTTCAGGTGCCCGTCCTCTTTCACAGGCAAGCGCAGCAGAGTTTCACGCGTGCAATCGAGTCGTCCAGAGTCCAGACATGTTTTGGGTATATGGTTATATGGTTCGGGTATGGATGCTCCCTAAAGGCTAAACCCTAAACCAAAAACCCTATGCTCCCTAAACCCTGAACCCTCTGGAGACCGAATGCACTTTCAACATTACCGTGGTTTGGCATGGGAGCTCTGGGAGCTCAATGCGTTGGAACAATGGCACCGAAAGGATCACGGACGTCCTAATCGTTCAGGCATGGATGCCATGGTAACTGAGTATGGTCAGAACTTAACGCTGATAGTGATAAATCTCGTGGTTTAGGAATGGACTCTGGCAGACAAATGCAGTTTCAATGCAGACACTTATCGTTTGAGCGTGGATGCTCTGGTGACGAAATGAAATTGGAACACGAGCTTTCTGGGTTCGTCACAGATGCTCGCGCAACCGAAAGAAGCCGGGCAAACGAGGACCCCAGACCTTCAAATCTGTTCTGTACTGCATCTATATACTGGCATCGGCTCATGATGCCAACCTCGTGTTTTTAGCTTCGCCGATGGAGGTTCTGCCCCCATCAACCAAATGTGAAGCTCTCGGGGGTGGCCAGGTTCGACATGCTGCAAACGTCTGATTTCAGGACAGGCACAGAAAGTCGCGACGTTGTCGCTCTTGATATCAGACTTTCGGTTCTTGTTGGAGTTGACGGGAGTACTGCCTCGGTAACAGACTGCAGTGTCTCCGACAGGCCGTGCATGAAAGCCTCACCACTGGATGCCGTTGGGTTGCAGGCTCTGCCTGCACCAGCAGGTGCAAGATGAAACCACCACCAACGGCCAGAAAGCCCTAAGGAGCAGGGATACATCTCCTCAGGTCGTAGCATCAAAGTGTCTGAGCAGCTTAAGCTTGAAAACACTTGGCGCTGCAACCGCAGTCATGAAAGATGTTGTTAGAAAGCTTCTGAAACTCAGTTCAGGAGGAGCCAGTGCGATGAATCCACGTGATCAACACGGCCATTCAGTCATTGAATACTCTGTGCATCAAGGGAACACGAGAACTCCCCCTGATCAGGTCCACGCACGGCTCCACGGGCTGCGGTCCGTCCTGCGATGCATGAAAACTGGTAAGGGGGCATTTTGCCTGATGTCCTCATGGCCTTAGGGTTTAGGGCCTTCCTTGTCTACACCACAATGGATTCTGAGACCCCGTATACTCAAGAGTCACAGCGGGCTTGGATGGAAACAAGTACCCCCACTTTCTGGCTATGCAGATGCTCCATGGGCCGGTCCAACACTTGACTGATAGCCCACCACCCAGTTGAGATTCCGTCGATGGGCACCACCCAAAAGCTCCTGACTAAGCCTCATTTGGTCTGCAGCACAAATGACTGCTTGCAGCTCGTGGCTAAGCCTGCACTTGTCAGATGGCATGGCATGCCAGAGCTAACAATGAAGAAGGTTAGTGCAGCCCGGCGCAAGCCGGACATGGATGCAGCCCAGTACACCTGCAGCTGTAGAAGGGACCAGGTCAGTAGCTGCACCGTTCGTCTCCCCCACAGCCAGGAAGTGAAGGTTGCTGCGCACCTCCTTGGGAATATCCAAGTCCCCCTCATGCCCTCATGGTCTTTTGACCCTAAACCCTAAACCCTCTTCAGTTTGCTGGAAGAAACACATGAAAATGCATTCCTTGCTCGACACGGGGCCGAGTCCAAAGCCTCGATGCCCGGGTAGTGCTTGTAGCAAGTGATTTTGGAAGAGCTGTCGCCAATCAGCCGGCCTTTTGCCAGGCCAGAGCCTGACCGGCACATGAAGCAAGACACTGGCTGAGAAGAAATGCCGGCTCAGGATGTCAGCATACGCATTCTGCAGTGGGACCAGGTCCTGTCGATGACACCGGTTGGGAAAATCAGTCTATAGGGAAACAACGACAACAACAACAACAAC